TTGTGTTAAGCCTTGGATTGGTTTTAAAGTTCATCATTTGCCTACATAGGCCGATCATATCCTAGCAAAAAGAGCTTGACTATGTTCACACATACAACGCACTACACCGCCTTTTCTGTTATTTTGAGTGATATTCTTGGCGCATTTTTGGTGCTCTTTCTTCGTTTGGCATCGCAAGGCATTCGCTGTAGCATTTCGAGGCTTCCCATAGGATGCATGAAGGCACAAGTTAGGTTGAATACATGTATTCCGAAGACAACAAGGCAATTGGGGTCTGAGCGTGGCCCGAAGGCCAGCCCACGTGTGTAAGGGGCAGACCAATTCTAAAGTGACCGCCAAACGTCAGGTAGCCACATAAACAAAGCATTACATTCGCCACCACTGGTGACCGCGTCGGTCACCAACTAACATAAGAATGAGGAATAGTTATTGCTCTCCTTAGAAGCTGTGACTCAATATGGAGTAACGCTCGGTCTGACAAATGGATCGGGGCCATATACATCAATTGACCGTCAATTGCTTCCTGACTTGGACATTGGAACACTCATAAAAACAGATGTTTAATATGAAAGAGGTACCGGTTACAGCCGAGTATGTAAGGAGGTCCTAGTAGTTCTCATACTACTTTTTTTTGGTTGCCTAGGTATCTATTTTTCCTTTTACACGTGGCCTGGTCATCAGATTAAGCCAAGAACCCATCCCCCCTTTTCTTTTCTTGGAATGCATGCATTCTGCAGAACATAATGCTTTCCTGTAACTGGGGGACACTCCAAACGATATAATGGTGGCAACCAACAGCGAATATGATTGTTTTAACGACTTTATAGCGCCCCGAGACTTCTCACAGAGTAGGAGAAGGCATTTAGTGAAGCTGAATACTTGCATTCCGCGTACAAGGGTTAGATGAATCTCAAAGTGACGGCCAGACATCAGGTGGACACAGACAAATTATTACAGACCCCTATCCTGCTATCCGCATTTACATCGGTTGGAAGATGATTCGAAATTCCCCACAACAGAAGGGTAGAGAATGTTGCCTGCATTTGGCTCCACCAACTTAACGGTTAAAAACTCCTTTCGGTAGAAGATATTAAGTAGGAATAAGAACATGTACTTAGGGTGAAAATGTGAGATTAGACTTTGGCATAGAACGAAAGTTAGCCGAGCAAATAAGATCAAGATAGAAAGCAATGTAGTCGGTCAAATGAGCAAGGAGTGACATAAGCGTTCCCAATAAGGTGAACAAAGCAGATCTCTCCACTCTCATCAAACAATATCTAGCAATAGCTGTTGATAACACCACTTTATTAAAGGCTATGTTTATACACCGATAGCGACATATCAGAATAGACTTCAGTGCTTAAATATTTTCAAGAATTTCGTCGTAAGAAGCCCAAAATCGTAGGCTGGTTGGCTGGAAGGACATTGCGCATTACCTTTGATCTGCTCTGTTTGGAAAACCTTTCTTCTCGGGACGTTGACGGGCCAGTTTTTACCTTTTTTGTCTGAGATTCCACTGGAGGATGAACTGCAGAAGGAAATTGCAATTGAGTTAGTGAATGAGACTGAGTCTTACAAGGTTTCTGTTCGCAGGTCCACCCTCATGGTTGCAGGCTCAGTCAACCAGTAATGATGAACCAATGAAATGGAAGGATGGAAGACATTACCAGAGAAGCCACTTTCTTCTCCTTCCTTGTAGTCGTTGCCAAACAGTATCCTCGGCTTCTTAGCAAGCGCCAATTCGGGAAGGCGAGATCTATCTGCACCTGAATGCTCTTTCCTAGAGAAGAAAATGAGGAAAGGAATGCGTGCGCAAGGCTACTCTTACATCTCTTTTCATTAAGTAGTGTAACTAGCCAAAGAACAGCCCCGACTTTTCATTGAGGTAATTACTCTCGGCATTGAGCCAAACCAGTTTAAAATGAGTGAGTGACAATCTTGGCTCGTTAATGATTTTAGTGCTTGGTACATTAATAGTATCAAGGATGGTTTATCTTTGCCCACATAAGACGTTGGTCAACATGGCGTTAACTCTTCACTTGAAGCGTTCCTCATGACAAACGAAGAACTTCGTCGACACACTGACACTAGATTCGTGGGGAGAAGAGTAAGTAATCACTCCCGCCTAATGACTTCCAATAACTATCGAGGCGTTCATCATCAAATGAAGCATTCGAGGTTAGGCCGGAAAGAAGCACTAAAAAGACTGGGATGTGCTTGCCTAATGGGTGTGCAATGCGACGTGTGTTGGTTTGAGTGTGACGATCTGATGTATAGACTAGACCTAATCTGAAACTAAGGAGATGAGTACTGATGATCTGACGGGGATATTCATCCTAGCAAAGTTGGAGTTAACGACTGGCAGATGGATGGATCACAAAGACCAAAATATTTGATGCATCCATGACTGGATGAAAGTTCATCTGAGATGATAGGAAGATAGCCGATAAGACTGATGACACACATATGAAGAAATGAAGGATCGAATCGAAGAGTGAGGAACGGGAGAGGAGAGGCACGGACGAACGAAGCAAGAAGTAGTTGAAACAAATGGACAGACGGTGATAGGAAACCAAATGGAACCGTATCATGCAGAGAAACAGAATGCTCGAATTTGTAAAAACAACTAGATGCGTGTTTAATGTCCTTCGGGTGCTTGCTGAGCAGGTGAGTCCGGTGGAATAATGAACAACCCTGAGATGTAGTTAAAAAATATTACACTAAACCTACTGAAATTGCTCACCAACAAAAGTACAACATGTCAAATTATCACCAGCTATATTCATATCTCGCATACTTGCGAGAGACACCCTCACAACTCCAAAAACGACGCTTTGATCGCACAATTCTAAATGCCCATTGACAATGAGTAACAGGAAGAAGGAAGAATTGAGACTTGCCTTAAATCGCTCTTGATGGGCTTGACATTTTGGTGTCTGTAAATGGGAGGAGAGGGTGACTCCGAGTTGATCACAGCCCACTCCAGGTTCGACTGATATCGGGCATGCAGAACGCGATTCGGCTGAAAGCACCCATGTAAGCACAAATGAAAGGACATTTCAGCTACATGAAGTAATCATAGGTAGTACGAGGGGTGAAGAATCTTTCAACTTATTCACGGATCTTCATTAGAATATGTTGTGCTCGCATCACCTCACAGAAAGGGCGTCAAACACTGAGGCACACATCGTTGCTAATTATTTTGGAAGCAATCAGCGTTGAATCTACAACTGTGGTTTCGGTGAAAATGAAAACTTCTATGTTAGCCAATCACTGTGTGGCACTGCAAGCAGTGGTAGCAGCTCTGACCTATACCCCAAATCCAGCAGGTGTATCTCGGGCAAATTAGGTCCAGACAATGACCATGAAGATAGCCGAAAAGAGGGATACTATCAAAGTAGCTTTTCAACAAAGGTTTCCAACCCGACACAGCATGCATCCACCCGAATTCGCAGGAGACGTCAATGCCATGATGACGGCACGTTCAGCAGTGGAACATTTGAATGATGTCGCTGATTCATAGAAGGTCGGTAACAACTCTAGTCTCAGTCCAAAGTACAATGAATTGGTCATTCAACGCTATGGAGAGTAAATCAAAGTGCGGAACAGTTGTCTGATCCTCGAGCGAACCCGATATAGGACGAATCCTCTCATGATATGAATAGATATTCGAGATGTGCAAAAATAGGTGCCCTTAATTAGGTGAAAAAATACCATGATAGAAAGGAGAAAACAAAGCACTAACGAGTTTATTTGTGCAGGACGTTGCGTCATCCGCCTTAGCCTTTGGCTTTTTTGAGCTAGTTGCAGGTCGAGGTGTGGTTTCAGCGGAAGAGGGCGACCGGAAGAAGGCGGAGAAGGTTCGCTGTCCAAGTGGCGTTTTGAGTGGGCCCCAAGATGGATCATGGAGAGGTGCAACCACTTGCCCTGCCGCTTCGAATACGAGAAATAGGCGTGCCAGTCTAAAAGCTGCCCGACCCTGAATCGACCCTCCTGCATGTGTCGGCTAAAGAGAAAAGATAATCGCCTGAAAGGTTGACCACAAGCACCAATCGTTTTATCTGAGACCATGGGTAGTGACAAGCACATCACCGGCGTTGAATCGCTGGTGCACGCGCTTGTTTTCACAGTTTCAATATACAGATGATCACACTAAAACATTGATAAATACCTTAACTTCAAAACGTCCTTGCGAATGTGCAAACTCACCCGATTTGGAGTTGAAGTGAGGAGCGACTCCGTACCAGACACCAGAGTGGATGCCATAAGTAATTCCAACTCCTTGCGTAACCTTCCCTCGCATTCCCTGACAGTCTCAAGGGACCAGATCGATCCAAAAGAGGCTCCTGATATCTTTAGAGGCTTGCTGAAGGCTTTTACAGCTGCAGTGAGGCAATCACAGACAGCAGAGGCTGCAGACTGTGTGGACATACAGCCAAACTGGTTACTAACGGCCAGCGAAGAATCGTCACTAAGGTAGCCAGACAAAGCGTCCTGACAACTGCGGATAGTATCAGCAAGATGGGCCAAACCGAGACTAAAAGGCCGCAAAAGTTTGGCATTTTCCTCGCTTAGAGTTGAAGTTGCTGCCGATTCCGTCATGCATGCTGGATAGGAAAGTACCAGCTAAAAGAATATTGGAATTGGGGAATGTCGAGCGATCAAAGAATAGGTAACGTAAGGTGCTTAGAAGGCGACAGCTACGAGTACAGCCAATCATTTCAGCTGTAAACTTTGTTCAAGCATAAGAATTAAGGATTTCCTCCGTGGTTTGACTCAACATGCTTGCTACCAGCGACGCAAAGCTGAAAACGTTCATTATCAGTGTATCTTTACCAATGGCCACAAATAGTAAAAGCTGTGCCTGATATTGTGGATTTGGAGACGTATTAGTCGATGCTACTACGGAGTACCAAGTTTTGTTGATGATCTCCAAGAGAATCAGTTTAAGGAGGACCAGACTTTATACTCAGGAGAGATAATAAAACTAAAGTAATACAATTGAGAGCAATCTGTTTCGTATCGAAAAGAGTACCATTACCTGTCCAGGAAGAATAGACGAGCTTTCTGCAACATGTCGGAGAGTAGCAAAGAAGCATTGGCTAAAACCGCGGAAGGGTTTGTTGATAATGAAAGCCAAATCAATAGTGTTCCTGATATTCACCCCAACCGCTAAGTATGCCAGGAGGGCACGAAATATAGGTCCGATCTAATTTGACAAGACACGCGTAAGGTGTGTTACCTCGGTGTAGCGTTCCGACGAGGTTGAACAGAGTTGTAGCGAGTGAAACGGCTTTAAATCGGGAGTATCAATGAATCGTAGATGAGATACACCAATCTCAACCAGGAGTGACACTACCAAAGACTAGAAATAACTTACTAGCTTTTTTGATGATCTACCTCAAACCAGGAGAGATGACTTGTAACAACGAGGTATTCGGTGGAATGCAAGGTCTCCATTAGCTGAGAGTTTATTTCGTATTCTGCTTTTATGGCCTTCAGCAAGTGAATTCGATCGATGACATTACAAGTGGTGAGTACATTCTCAACAGCTTGAACAAGCTCACAGTGGTTGTTTCGGGGGGTGAATAATCTCTCCTTGCATATCTCAATCCAAAGTAAACTTAGTTCTTCAGGGAATAACTAAAAGTAGGTGTATAGTCTGTTATCCGGTACCTACTTCAGTTTTGCGCTTAATTTTCGTCAGCGCCAAGTACAGAACCCTTTGCTCATCCAGAGGACCAACAAAACTTTCAAGCGAGTTAGATTCCAAAGAAAAGTTGGAGTAGATACTGTAGAGGAATAAGAGTAGACAATGAGGTCGAAAATCGGAATCCTCATTTTCCTCATCGAAGCATTCCCATTGACCGATTTCGACGACAAACATTATGAATGATCATTAATTAGGACTATATGTAAGCGGAACTACAATGCAGAAAATGTACGCTAGAACAGTAACTTGGCGAGGACAACAACCGCCTCAGGAAAGGAACAAAAGAAGTAATCAGACACCTACTACCGTAAAGATTGACGAACATCGAAGGAACTCATTATAGATAAACAGACTCAAAAGTAAAGAGGAAATTGAGTACGGGCTAACATAGATGCATTAATCTACAAACACACAAAGAGCAATGCGGGTACACGGCACACCCAATCTCAACCCGAATCTCGATGAAACTGAAGGTTTACCATTTGCGCTAAACCTTGAAGAACTACAAAACAAAAACAAGTTATATAAATAAGAGTTTAATATGAAAAAATGGGCCGGTAACTATATGTAGCAGCAAAAACAAAGGCATATTTAACGGTTTTTAAGCTGCTCTTTGGGGTAATTATTGAAAGAACTGGACGGTGCCACCAGCAATAGCATCCTGAGACTTTCCACCAGGTCGAATATAGCATCACGTTAAACAGAACACATATATTCGAGGCGGTCACTTTAGGATTTCTGTGGGCCTTGTACTCTTGGTTTGGCACTCGCGCCAAGGCGAGGCATCGTTGCCCTGTCCTTCTTGGAATACATACGTCTGGCTCCACTTACTGCCTTCTTTTACCCGCTGGGTAGTCTGGGGACGCTACAAAGGAAAAGGAATATTGACCTGGCATGGCCTACAATTTAGCTCACGCTTTCAAGGCCTAAAAAAATACCAGAGCTACCGCCAGACATCTAGCGGTCATATAAACAAAGTATTGCACTGCCTCTGTCTTCTTTTGAGCGACGTCCTCGGTGGTCTTCATTTTACGCCTCTCGCACTACTCCCATGAGGGAGCATTGCAAGTACCACCTTCGGAAGAATAAATCCTGGTAACTTTTCCTTAACCAGCCCACTTATGAAACCAGAGACTCAGACGCCTGGGGGAAATTTGAAAGATCCTACACCGATGGCAATCTAATCACAGTATCATCTGCAGTATCTAAACTTGGATGTAGTAAGGGAGATTCGATACGAAACATTTCCAAATGACTTATGGCGGTACCACTTTAGTTGTTGATAATTTTCCTCCGAAACACAGACAAAGGTGAAGCCAATTGTAAGCAACATTCTCTACCCTTTTGTTGTAAGGAATTTCGAACCATCTCCCGACAAATGTAGATTCGCTTTTACTACACCGCAGATATATGTCACAAACGGTGGGTAGCAGGATAAAAGTTGTTTAAACAGTCAAGTTTGCCTTCCACTACCACCACTTTAGCGTCCTCAGTGTTCAACAGGTATGGGAAGGCATGACGCTAAGCAGAGTACATGTATTTTGGGAGATAAGGAAATAGTGTGATACATACCAATGTGTTGAAGTTGCCTTTATCGAAGAGAAGCGGTTGCCTAGTGAACTCCTTCCAAACAATCCTCTCATGTAGTGGGAGAATCAGGAGCCTGAGGGTAGGTTTGGAGGCCCTACACTAGTGGCGGCGCCGGTCGACATCCTTCCTTTAAAGAAGACATGGATTTTGAATGACAGGATTCCCTTCACAAAAGCGGACTTTAAGCTCTACAGTCTGGCCACTTTGCGCCCCATCGTATGAGCTACGCCTCCAGGCGATGAGCACGGAAATCAATCCCACCTTATAAGAACGCTCCTAAGTCCTAGTCAAACCGGCATCCCTACAGAAGCAACAGTTTTTGAACTCCGACTTTATACAGAGTTTTTAGAAATTTGGCGAGAGCTATTAGGATTTCGTGGAGAGTCTCCAGTTCTTGGCCAAAAGGAACCTCTAAAGACTGCTATCCTCTCCGAGTTGCCGCATAAAAGCGATCCACTTCAAAAGGAGTATGCATCCATCTGCCTTGGCAAAACTACTGGTTCACACGAGAGCAGGCAGACTGATTGGCCTCATTGATGTGGTAGCTGCCAAAAGCCAGGAGATATAACTCAACGTATTTTAACATTGAGGTTAATCTTTGGGTTCTCGGCAGACAATGGATCCATCGTAGGTAAAGGCGTGGGAATCCAAGAGATTCTCCAAAACTAAGTAATCCACAATTCTTCTCCTCCATGCCCTACTTTTATGCGGATACGGGACAAAATGGAAGTCCACATATGCGCTCTCCTTCTAGACTCATGAGCAGACCGTTCGTTACTAAAACCACAGGCTTTTCCGAGAGTTTGTAACAAGGTCTGGATTGCTCTGCCAGCAGAGGAAGGAAATATCGGTAAAAGGAGAAGCCTCTAAGAGATTCTCAATCGGGAGGGAAAGCTGAGAGGTGGATTTTGTGCTATGTTCATAACATGCCTGGGACGCAATAGTAGGACTCAACTTCCACGCCTTATCCGAGCGACTATAAACTTCGATCTAGGTATGTCCATGATCTATTTCAGGCCCAAGAAGAAAAACTTGACTCCTTAGCCGAATAAAGGAGAAGGCGACATATGAAGGCCCCACTTCGCTGCCCTGGCAGTCACTGGGACCAATCTAAACAATCGCTGTGCTCAACTAAAACACATTATCGACAGTGAAGGAAGGGAATCGTACACGCTGATGAAAAAAATTCTTGCAAATGTTCTTATGGGGCAGGAGTGAAACTGGGGTTAAAAAAAGTATTTACATGCGTGACCGACGTCGGTAAGGCCAAACCGATCTAGCAGCCGCGTAGACACATACTGCCCTCTCTCCTCCAAGACGAAGTACATCGGGTGATAGACGAGATGCTGCGCCACAGTTATCAGACCCTTCAAATCACCCTGGGCCTCCCCTATCGCATTAGTTAAAAAGGAGTGACAGCAGCCTACGTCTATGCGTTGATTATAGGAGGTTCAATGCGGTAACAAAGAAGGATACGTCCCATATATCCCACATTAACGACTCGTTGGAATCTCTGCAAGGAGTCAAGTAGTTCTCGACATTGGATCTGAAGTCCGGCTACTGGCAGGTGGATGTAGCGGAGAAAGATAAGAAAAAGCGACCTTCATTGTACCAAGCGGACTATACGAGTTCCAAACGATGCCTTTTGGGCTTTACAACACGACAGCCACCCTCCAGCGACTTTTGCGGACGGCATCGCGCGGACTATTCCTGAAACGCTGCATTATCTACCTGGACGGCATTCAAGCAACATAACTTCAACCTCCGATTAATGCTGGATTGCATTGTGGGAAAAAGGTCTAACACGGAATTCGAAGGAATACAGTTTTCTCTGGAAATTCAGTCACGTTCCTGGGACACACAATCTCTGCAGACGGTATGGCTGCCACGAAAGACCGAACAAGGCAAAGAGGTCTTGGCCGACGCCTACCACCCAAACGGAACTCTGCAGCTTCCTCGCTTTGACAACTATTATCAGCGTTTTGTAAGCGGTTTTGCCAAGATCGCAAGTCCCCTATATAAGTTGATCGTTAAACAGGTGAAAAAACAGTTCCCTTAAAGAAATGAGCACACAGAAGTGTCTAAGGAGTTGAAGCGTATTCTCTGCTGGACACAGACGCAAGTGATGTGGCAGTGAGTGGAGTGCTATCCCAAAAAGACGGAAAGAACATGTGGTCGCGTATGCCAGCTCACGTCTAAGCAAAATGATGAAACAGAAGAGTGCCACGGAATGGAAACTTTTCGCTATTTATACAATGGTTGGACATTTTAAGCACTACTTGATAGGAAAGCAGTTCGTTGTGAGGACAGACCATCAAGCACAGACATGGTTGAAGACGATGATGGAGATCGATCGCTCCGTTGCAAGGTGGTACGAAGACCTCCAGCAATATGATTTTATAGTGCAATATAGAAAAGGAAGCTCTCATGGCAATGCAGAGGCTCTGTCACGGAGACCCTTATCCCGTCCACGAATAGTGGCACAGTAGGTGCGCTGTCATTGAGCCAACCTACTTCCCATCACTGGAGAGACACACAGACCTCCGACCTCGATACAGCTTTAGTTTATGGAAGACTAAGGACATATTCGGCCAAGCCCACAATTGAGGAGATGAGTTCGACGAACAGAGAGCCAAGCAAATATGGTAGAACTGGGAAAAACTTTCTAGAAGACGACTTCATGTGGTACAAAGTCAATGCGGCAGGTACTTTATACGTCGTAGTGCCAGGTTCCTTGATGCAGACATCTCTGTTGCTTGTTGCCGCGAAGAAGAGGTATTGGTGGCCCTTGCTGCCATTGGATGTCTGCAGTTTTTGTCGCGCACGCGTTACGTGTACGAGCTCAAAGAACCCAACTTGCACGGCGGCAGCCCCTCTACAGTCGATTGTAGCGTCCCGAGACTTTCCATAAGGCGAAAGGAGGCATAAGTGAGATCGAATACATGTACTCGAGGACGAAAGGGCAACCGGAGCTTGAGCGTGGCCCGAAGGCCAATCCAAGCGTACAGGGACAGACAAACTCTAAAGTGACCGCCAAACGTCAGGTAGTCACATAAACAAAGTATTACACTGCCCCTCTCTTCTTTTGAGCGACGTCCTCGGCGCACCCCTTTGGTACACCTCCCGCACCAGCCATCACAACATATTCGGTACTACAAGAAAGCACCCACGAGCCAACCGCGCAAATCGAGAGACAACACGAGACTGAGGAATCGTACCTGGTCTCCTCGACTGCTTCAATCGGATCTGGTGTTATGTTCGTTCTGACAACCAGATTCAGAGCCGCATACAAATGTTGACCATCAATTGCTTCCAGGAATAGGCAGTGGAACTCTAACCTAAAAAAATATACGTTAAAGGGGAAACGGGATGAGCCACTGTCCCTTATGTAAGGAGAACCGTGGTGTCATTTCCGACAGCTAAACACGGATTTTGTTTGAGAAATTCCGACACGAAACTTTTCCAGATAGTTCACGGGGGTGTCGCTTCAGTTGTTAATAACTTGTCTGTGGAACAGGAAATAAGGTGAAACCAAATGTAGACGTCAGTCCGAAGCTTTCGTTGTGAAGGATTCAGGGATTTTTCATCACCCAGGTAAATGCGTCTCCTTCAATTCACGACTTCTTCACGCCTGTATCTTCATCTACTACACTTCGATAGTCGGACTTCCTTCTACGCATGTGTAGCTCATGAATGCCAGTGCGTAACGCCAAAATGCGCTTATTGATCCTGGATTTGTCCACTATAAAGTAGAATTCTTTTGCAGTTTTGTCTGATGGTTGGATTATATCCTTCTTATCGTGAAAAGAGAGGTTCCGACTTTCCGACCAAGGAAACCCGATTTTGGGGTATCTGCATGCATTGAACCAGTGCATCATTCGATCGAACCGTTGCTCGTCGATTTGTTCTTGCTGTTCTTTTCCCGAAATCAGTCGATAAATTGGCAAAGTCTGACAACACAAACGTAGAATGTCAGAAAGACAGCGGTGTCTGTTGAGCAATAGATTTTCCCGGATACTATGTCGCTTTTAACAAACGAATGACAAAGAACAAGCCGCAGAGAGAGACCCCGCCTCGGCTGCAGCAGGTCTTCAAAAACGCTTTGTACCTAAAATTCGTCAAAAAATGTCGGGTTCGCTTTTCGCTGCCACCAGCGTGGCGTCCCGAGACTTTCCATAGGGTGAAAGAAGGCATGTACTCGAAGACAAAAAAGTAAACGGAGCTTGAGCGTGGCCCGAAGGCCAGCCCACGCGTACAGGGGACAGACAAACTCTAAAGTGACTGCCAAACGTCAGGTAGTCACATAAGCAAAGTATTACATCCATGTCCATGGGTTTTCCAAGGAGGCAGGTAGGCAAAGATATCATAGACCCGCCGCTTACGACTCCGGGATGGAACCGTTATATGTTGGTGATGGCAGACAATTTTACCATAGTCGCGGAAGCCGAACCATTACAGGTCCAGGGAGATGAGACATTAACAACCATATTCTTCAATCTTTGGACCTGTCAACCGGTGTTCCTGATGATGTACACAGCGACCAATGGATGAATTTTGAAAGTTGTCTCTTCAAGAAGTTGTGCAAAGCCTTTGAAAAATTCGTAAAACGCGTACGACACCGGGTCGCTCTCAGTGCAAGGGGTAAGTAAAAAAAGGACAAATTGTACCTTGTCGACTTATTGAGGCCTTTACTAAAGTAATGCGGCCCAAGGAATGGATTCATTTTATTAAGAGAGTAAAGTCAAGTTCTCAGAGTGTCATCGGATCGCCGTCTCATCAATTTTTCACCCATTTTTTGTTCTTTCCCAACCAGTCCCCTCATAAAGTCCGATGTTCAGAGACCTAAGACCATGTGGACGTCTCTCGAGTAGTGTTGGTCGTTATCCATATTTAGCGTTATACTAACTAAATCTTGTCTCTGGCGTTCGAGATACTCGCTAAAGCCGTTCACTAGTTGCCACATTTAATTAGCACCTATTTCTCATCGTTGGTACTAGGAAGTTCCGTGTAAATAAATTTGATGCAATCTTGCTAATTAACGTAAGTTTCCAACTAAAATTAATCATTCCTGTTAAAGGATTTTAAGTTTTGGAGCCGAAGGTTAAGCACGCTTTGGGTCAAATCAGAAAATATTGTTTTAAGTGTTAATCTTTTTCCCTCTCTTTCAAATGTGTAAGGCGTGGATTCGTAGTTGGATGCTAAAATGCAGTTACCGGATGCAGAATCTACGACGCTTACTCAGATGCTGTTAGCTGGCGTCCGACTTGACGGCAGATCTTTGAAGGAGTACCGTGAAATCAATTTTCGTTTTCCAGGAGGTCATCCATGCGGTGGTTGTTGCATTGTGAACATAGGTTCCACTTCGGTCCTTGCCAAAGTCTCTGCGGAGGTGGTTGAACCTAAGCACTACAGACCTGCTCAAGGGGTTGTTTTCGTCAACTTTGATGCTACTCTACTGTCTCTTCTGGAAGGTTTGTGACGATTTTATGTTCAAACCTTTGGTTAACCCCGGCGACTGCTTTTAATTCTTTTAGCGGTTTTGTTTGTGACATTTCACGTCTGTCTGATATTTTAATGCGCTTGAATGGACGGCCTCCATGTTTTGGGGTTGTGTGGTCTTGATTGATATTTGACCATTTACTTTCCACACTGATATTTTACTGAACGACCCGCTTCATTCCATCGGCAGGGAAACGAAAGGTGCGGGGCCGCGATGACGAGGGTCGACGCCTATCCTCAGTGCTTCAAATGTGCCTTCGTGATTGTATTGACGTTGACGCTCTTTGCATTGTCGCCTGGGAACGAGTGTTCGCAATTCGTGTCGATCTCAAGGCCCTTTCTTTCGACGGGAATTTGGGTGACTGTGGTGCACTTGCCGCCGTTGCTGCTCTGGCCTCCTTTCGTCGGCCTGACGTTTTTGTCGATGACGATGGAAAGGTAAGTTCCTACTTTCCATAACATTCCGCGATCTTTTGATGGTTTTTGAAGTATCATAACAAATCATAACAACGGTTTTGATCAAGCATCTAATATGAGCCTATCGTCCAAAACACTGGATTCCTAACATTTGTTTTGAATTCTCTTTTTAATTTTTGCAACTAATGAGACTTTGTTGGTTAAGCAAACTTATTTCAGGTTTTTAATGATCATCCGCCCTTTATACTCGCTTTCTTCCTTGCTAACAGTTAGTAGGCATAATGGTCTCAAATATCTCTTGTTATTTTAATTTCTAAAACTCACTGATTTTTCAATTCACAAGGCTGTGCGAAACTTGACAGTAGATGGGTGGTGAGCCTTAGTATTTCTCACATTACCTTGAAAGCGGATTTCTGGATTTCACTCCAATGGCGAACTGAAATGATACCTTTTATTTGAAATATACACATTCGCTTGCAACTCGTTTCTTGTCTCCAAAAATCGGGAACCAGTTGAAGAATTTACCGATCTTTTTTATAAGACATGGAGACATTGAAATAAATTGTGACTTAAATTTGTATTCAAGCTGTTAAAGGTTGCCTTGCAGTTTAAAGCAATAAAATAGTGGCTCTTTATGCATGCGGTTCCTCTTAATAATAGATTGTTGTTGACACGGAGATGAAACACCGCCCACCGGTGCGTCTGAACTTGCGTCGCATTCCTGTGTTGGTGACTCTCGGTCTAGCCTCTGACACCAAGGTCATTTTACAAGATCCTACACAGCGAGAGGAGGCCATCATGACTGGAGGGCGAGTGATGGTCGGTCTCACTGCTCATGAGGAGCTCTGCTGTGTTCATACCTCTGGACTCACCACCTCAATTCGACCTGAAAGCCTTTCCAGGTACGTTGACACGTCTTCCTCCCAATTTTCGGATGGTCTTATGAATTTGTCTTTTAAATGTTTGCTTATTCAAGTTCAGTAGAAAGTGTTACATAAGTGATTAAATCGTGTACAAAAAATTGATGGGCTGCCCGAGCACCACTATCGGGTCATTTACGAAATAGCATCAAAACAGATAGAATTCTATTTTCTTTGAAAATGTGTTTCGCAAATCGCTTGCATTTCAAGTGTCAATAAACGAGTCTCGGGATCAGAAGATTAAAAGATTGCTTTCGAATTCGGTATCGAGTATCGTGTTATTTCCTGCTCTCCACCTAGGCAGAGATTTCATTATGTTAATCAGAGTTCTAGAAATGCAAAGGTACTAAATAGGAATGATAGTTAGTGCTTGAAATTACCAATTTTATTGTTGACTTTGCCATCATTTTACCCTCTTTCTGGAGGCAATTGAGGTTCGAGCTTATAGTTTGTGACTTTGGTGTCGTGTGGTGTGAAGGAATTGTGCAAAGTGGATTTGTGGTGCATTTGTTTGTTCGGGTGTTGCAATGCTGAAAAGATTTTGAATGGAACATTTTCCATTAGGTCAATCGGGGCTCCTGGTACAGCATGAATTGGGAAGGCCTTTGCTCATCCATCCACCCCGTGCGATTAAATCGCACAAACTACTGTACTCAGAGCTCAACAACTGTCTTCCGTGTGTCTGTTTCTTTTTCACAGTCTTTCCTCGGTTGTGACCCTGACATTAAATTAGCTGAGCCTTACTAAATTGAGGTCTGTTCATTTTTACCTTGATTGCTTTGACGGGAAGGTAACCTTGTTGTAATAGCATCTAGGATTGAAATTGTCTGAATATTCCTTAGCTGTTTTTGCCGTGACTGAAGTTTTGTTTAGGGACAAGATAATGCCCAAAGGTCAGAGGTGTACGCCTTGATTCGTCACCACATGCTTTTGAATTCGAGAGCCGTCGCCATCATCCTCTCCTGAAGTTTTTAGTGGTATTATCCGAATAGATTAGTCAATATAATTCAAGTTGGGTAGCACTAGTGTAACATACTTCCACCATTCATTCCATGATATGCTGTGATTTTTTGATCATATAGGTGCATTCTGTTGGCCAATGCTCGCGCTAAATCCCTCGTAGCTCTCGTTCAGCGGGTTCTTGAGGGACTTGAACGCCAACGTGCCGCCTTGGATGCCGCTGCGGCTGCTCGAACGAGTGAACTCGATAGGGCCAATCAGCTTTTAGTGAACGTGCCCCTCGTTCTTAGTTCGACCTCTTTCCTCCCGGGTGGTGCTAACGCACCTGCGGAGCTTAAAAATGTTGAAGATGGCGAGTTGCCTGGAGAAGAGGCAGACGAGAGTGAAGGGGACTCGGGTGGTTCCCACGCCATGGACGTGGACAATTCCTCAGAGTCGGAAGAGGAGGTGAGACTAGCTGCAAGGGATCCTTACGGTGTAATTGAGGTGTCAAGTCTGCTGGCAGAGCGTGAGAGACCGGAGGTAGAAACGGAGGAGGTTAAAAGAGGTCTGAGTTTCCAGTCAATTGAGTCCGACGCAACAGTTGTCGCGTCGTCAGCATTGCCACCCAGAATTGCTAGGGCGACTAAAAAACATAAAATGCCTAGTTTTAATGAGGATGAGGAGGAAGAGGAGGAAAAGGTAATTGTACAATTATTTTGAAATGTATACACGTCTTTTGTACTGTCACTTTCTGACCTTAACCTGGCGTGGTGTCTCACCAGAAGTCGTCGCTCTGTTCCTATTTGAGCTGGAGTTAATGTGGATCCTAGCATGAGGACAACAATGAGTTGTCAACCCTACATGGCCGTGTTTGCTGTGATGTTTGAAAATTGAAGTTGCTGTATAAGAGGGTGTGGTGGGCGGGATTAAAGTGCTAGTGTTCGACATATCATACCCAAAATTATCCCCGAAGCATCGTATCAAAGTCACGCATACCAGATTTCGAGTTTACTTCTAAACATGCACTTAAAAGGTTCGTCTTGGGTGTTTACGATGTGACTCGGTGCTCGGGTGATTGCCGTTCTAAGTGAGACTCGCTAGATCTACTATTGTCCGGGACATGATGGAAGCACCATCATGTGGTGAAGTCTCGGAAAGTCGCTTTGAGGTGGCTGAAGCGGAAGGGCTGTTGGCGGCAACATAGGGCGTCGGTCAGTTGGAACTGTTAAAGTGACCATGTAAGTAATGTGGAGCGGGCTGGTTACCGGATCAGGCCGAAAGGCCCATTCTCTTCATTTCGGGTATGGATACATCCAATGCTTTGGAGTTTGTCTTGCCTTGTATACGTGGACTGGTCTTAGTGCCAGGCCAAAGCCAAACCCTTCACTTTCCTCCAAGTCTGCGTGTCTTCGGCTCAGCTTAATGCATTCTGGGGCGCTACAACCCAATGTTTATAGTTAACGTTGGAATGCCAGGCAATTTTAAAGGCCGTTTGAACACACTAAATGATGATATAGGTACTAAGAAATTCAAACACATGGGAGCAATTTTAAAAGCCTTTAGTCGGGGCGGCGCAAAATTGGCTTTATTTTTGGACTTGTGATTTAGGATACTGTAACCCTTAAGCAAAACTGAAGTGTAAGAATAGCGTCCATCTAATATTGGCCTTATTACTTTAGGAAGTAAGTGTGAAAAACCAAAACTTCTTAATAAAACAAAAAACGATGTGAGTATCACACATTCGCGTGCGTTTCGTTTAATCACTGCCTCTTGATATGTAATTGGCTTAATTACATACGCCTATGTAAAGGCACATTTTTGAAAAACCAGAAACACCCAATTGATAGCTAAACAATACGAGAACGTTTAGTTTGACCTAGTTGCCCATTATTTTTTGGAATGCCCTTTGTCAGAGCAGATGTGTCGTTCTTTATTCAAATAGGATCATTTCATAATATAGACCTTTTCCAAAGAGGGTGGGCATCTTTTCATTGTAATTTTTTAGGTATTACCAAGTGAGATTCTATCTCAAAGCAGGCAATTCTTCTTCACCTGTAAATACCTTTGGCCAGTCTGCTATAGCCATTTATCCCCTTGTTATCTTTGGCGAAATCTCAACAGCCAGTATACATTATGATCAGGGTTCTTCTCAATCCTCTCCTCCTAAAGGTTGCGGCCCAACCGTTCCCATCATGTACCATAAAGAGTCTGTCGGCTTGAACGAGGCATTTGAACTGCAGATTCAAGTTAACGTTGATTTATTCCAACTGGAAGATATTTTCAGACAAACAGAGCTTTTATTTTGTGCAGAGTTGTGGTTTGCTGAAGAGACTGAGAGGTAAGGTTTACTCTTACAAAGGCACAGTTAGTTTTACTTAAAATGAGGTCTTAACCACCAAGCTGCGAAGCCGATGACTTTTGTACTTGAGTATTTTTACAGAGCCGTCATTGATTGAGCTTGTGTTACCTTTTATTTTTCCAGTAACATAAGCAATGACAAACTGCAAATGCTCACCTCGCGTCAGAAACGAATTCAGATGTCACCCATTCGGGGTCTCTGCCATCAATTTAACATTATTTTCGATTTTTCTTACCTCTGCGCCGTTGAATTTGTCATTCAGAGCTATCTTACCAACATTCTACCTGGACTATATAGGCGCGTTTTCCCATTTTTAAAGATTTACAACATCTATTGTTTTTCTCAATTTTAATGCTCTATTATCCCTAACAGATCTCCATCCCTTCCAAACAACCTTCATTCCCTGGTTGCGTACGAAAGTCACGCCAAGCAAAACTGGAAGGATGTAATCCTTGGAACCTCTCCAGCAGTAAGTTTCTTATAATTTAGTTTTTTTTATAATTTATCGTGGGGTGAGGTCGCCACACTTGTTGTGTTCAACTTCAGGGCGCATATATTAAGTGTTCACTATCTCAGGTAAGCCGTTACATGATAGTTGCTTATTTATAATTCATGCATGTGAATGCTGCTCGTTGATTACTGGCGTCTGGCAGTCGCAGTATCCTTTCTAATGTGCTATCCCATTTCCTCCTTATTGCTTTAGAGTGAGAATAAACAGTACTACGCAGTAGCAACCCACCGCCATCTGTGTCAAACCCTTCTCTCCTCCCGTGAACGGATGCTTACTTTTTGGCACGAAATCGCCATCTTCCTTGAGAATCAGTTTCGGCCTAGTTCTGGTGCGTTATGTGCTTTGCATCTGCGAAAGCACGTCTTCATCACGAACTTTATTGAATATTTCACATGCGTTTTCCCTTCAGGAAGGAAATTTTGGATACTAATCTCTCTATTCATTACAATATATCTTAAAATTGAACTACCGATGTAAGTGCTCTGCGTACAGCGAAAATCTCTGCCAAATTATTAAAAGAATGCTTGAAACATTTAGGAATTGTAATCTGCTTTTGTACTAAGGAATGTTTCCAAAGACTATCTTGATGGAGAAGTCTGGGAAATGTCTGGTTACCACTGTTAATTCTCTGCTTTCTCATTAGTTCCCCAATGTTCTCTTTTAAAAACTCAAATTTTGCGATTCAGACATAGTGTTTCTTTTTTTGTCGTAAAATACTTAATTTTGAGTTGGAAATTAAGAAAGTGGAACAATATACTGCCAAAAAGCTGCTATTCCGTTTCAAGACTTTAAAGCGAACTTGATACTGAGAAAAACTCCTAAGACAAGTTTCAAGTTTTTCTTTGCAGCAGTGGAGATAATAGGTAATCTTTGTGAGAAAGGTAGCCTTTCCCTGGATGAATTCAGATTTAGCAGTTTGTGAACTCGTTTCCGGCACCTAACGACCACGTGGGGATGCTGTATGCTCCTTGAAGTTTATTGTTTTGATGACATTCTAACATCAAATGGGGATTATTGAACCCTTAGACTTTAAGTCTTGTAATCTTCCCCCTTTATATTGGGTAAAGGTCTGAATCTACATTAGACAGTCTGGGAGGTAACGTGATCATGAAAGTTTCTTTTCAATCATTCATTCTTGGATCCTGCGGGCTGTGTGCGAAAAGTAGACCTTCCAAAATCTCACAACTTTTACTTAAATGTACTTTATCTAAAGTCTAAAGTAAAGGAAGTTGGATATGTAGTGCGGTGTGGTTGCCATCTTGAACAGCTCTTTCGATCTAGCTATCGAAAGCCTTCTTGAATGAGGTTAGCGACGTATATATTTTTCAACGGTTTGCCCAACACGTGGGTGCTCAGCTTTGGGTGAGGTCCAACTACCGCAGTGTGAAGGTTTTTGCCTTCTTCCATGGTGCATAAAACTAGCTAATTCAGTCGTTTCTCCGGTACAAGACAGAGTGTGAATTCTATAGACGCTGGAGGAGTGCGGCAGCATCTACTGCAACCATTTATTGCCAAACTCTTAAAAGGGAGGGCGGAAGGAAGGAAGCAACTCCTTTTGTGTGGCGCTGTGTTGGTTTGATCATGTGATGGAAGGTGTAAAGTCGAAAGTTAATCTCTCTACCTCCTGTCCTTAGAATAAAATTTGTTGAACTGAACAAACGAGGTTTGAATTATCCTGAAAATTCCACCTTACAACGTCCCTCTTTCCTACACAAATTTAGAAGTTTTCGACCTACGAGGCCTCTTGGATAGACTCACCGTAAATTTTCAGGTGAGTTAAGCATTTTACACGAGAAAAGGCAATGCGTTTCCGTTACTACTATCATTTGTTTATGATATCCGTGACCAGACCTCTTCCTGTAAGCAATCCACCTATATAAAGACTGCAACCGCTTTTTATAATGCATTCTCTTGCATACAGAGGAAATTGGTTGATAAAGTGAGTTGCTTTCGTGGATATCTCTGTGTGTGTTGGTGATCCACCTTAGCGTTGCACCGCGAGTATCGTTTAGGTGATTTCATCAAAATAAACTAAAAAAAACAAAGATCAATTGCGCACTTCTTTCTTTAAAAATAATTATCCACCTACCGTGTGGTAATTGGTTGCCTTTTTTTATTGTTTTCATTGCATCAGCAACTCAAAACGGAGACGGAGATGGCAAAGCAGGTAGCCAAAGACGTTGGTGAATTGGCCGCAGAGAATGGCCGAATTTTCCACCGAATATGCAGATTTACCTACTCCACGCCCAGTGTCTTCAGACACATCCAACACAAGTCCCACCAAATCAGGGTGAGGTCCCATTTCGCCTGTTGTAATTGCCTCCGATCACCTTTTCCTTCTCTTTCTGTATCTCAAAGTATTTGTGCTTATGGTTCGCTAGATGAAACGGCTTGCAGAAGCATTCTTCGTGCAAGAATTGCAAATTCCTCAGCTACTGGCCGTCTATGATCCCGCGTAAGTTGTCAAGCGTTCAACCAAGGTTTTACGCTAGAGCTGTTGCTAAAGGTGTTGGAGGGTAGCAACTGAACCTCAAGAGACAAAAAACATGCATAACTGAATGTGTGTCTGATGTGTGAAGCAAAGAGTTGGGTCGAAATGTTAACATCGCCTAGGAATCTTAATATAATATCCTTGTTAAAGGAGTCATGATTAGAAGAAAAGGAATCACCTGCTCTATGTGGTTTTGACGACTTAATTGCCCACTTAACCTTTATCCAATGCAGACATTTTAGCCTTAGTTGTTGTAACATATCTAGCAGGTAAGTGTTGATGGTCTAATGCGATTCACGCAAATGGTGTTCAGTTTTGTGGAGTTGGAGTGTGCGTGGCCAGGGGGTGTGATGGGGTGA